AAACAAATTTTGCATCCAATAAACATGAATTTTCCTTTTGTATTTCAGAGACATATTGGCAATCAGATGGTACCCAGCCGCATCTAGTCAACATTCAGTTTCGCCGGAAAACAACATTGAACAGATTGTGTATTTACGCCGACTACAAAGCAGATGAGAGTTACACACCGAATAAAATATCAGTCAGAATTGGAAACCATTTTCATGATTTACAAGAGATTGAAGTTTTGGAATTGACAGAGCCCAGTGGTTGGGTAATAGTACCCTTACAAGATAGGAGTGGAAAACCTTTGCGTACATTCATGATTCAGATTGCAGTATTGTCAAACCACCAGAACGGACGCGACACACATATGAGACAAATTAAAGTTTATTCCCCTGTGCAGGAAAACTCTATTGGTAAATTACCGACTTTTTCAAATGTGGAGCTGGCTATGTACAGTACAGTTAGATAATGTGAGGTTACTGTAAAACCATTTATTTTTTCTGACATTTAATTTCACTATTTTGATGTATTGAGCATATTCACTGTGTTTTAATATCACAAATTTTTCAAAGAAGCAATGAGTTTTATTGTTATTTTACATGTTCATATTGATTGAATTCAGCGGATTTACTTACCGATATCAGCAAAATTAAAACCCAGTGAATAATTAATGCATTTACAGTACTGCATATGTGTGACCAGTAGTAATTTTTTCTTAACCATACAACTATTCTTCCCTGAGCAGGTATTCTCCAGGGAATGTGTCCTTTGCTTGTAAAATTTTCCAGTCAATTGTCAAGATGTGATTTTTCATTATGTCTTTGTGATATCAATTTTAATCAAATTCATAATTTAAAGAATATGTCATTTTCAATATTGATTTGTGACACAGAATTTTGATGAAAACATGATTGATTATGAACTTGAAAATACTTTTCATGTAGCACACAGCTAATTGTTCACTAATGCACATATGCACAGATTGTTTTGATATGTGCAGCAAAAATCAATACATACGAGAATATCCTCTCTGCTCAGCAATCCTTATTTTAAAATTCTGTGAAATCCATTAATGTGGAGTTGAATCTAGATAGAGGGACAACGCCCTCCAGTATAATAATGGCAACCCTTTACATGTTCCACCATCATTGATTCACTATACAATAATATTACTGTTACCGAAAAAGCGTTACTATGATAATATCTTCACCTGGAAATGCTGAATAAGTAAATGCAACAACGAAGATGTCAATTATTGGTTTTACAACATCCACAATGCCTCATATCGAATGTTTGTTTTATTTTTGACTTTCTGTGATATTGCAAAATTCATTAACGAGCGCCCTCTAGTGATGGTTTAGCAACATCCCAAGAGTAAATAAAAATAAAAAGGTTTTATACCTTCATTCTATTCAATAAATTCCATTACACTCATTCATTCACTCGATAAAAATGGATGGGTCACAGATGTTTTATTTATAGACATTGACAAAAAAAAATTTTACATTGCCCATTATACCGGGCAATGTTACTTGTTGCAAGTTGTGATATCCCTGTTGTATGTCCGCCGCACAGGAAGTCCAAAGGTGAAAACCTTATAATTTTATATTGTGGGAATTTTCTGCAAACCTGTGTCGAAAGCAATGCTGTACATGGTACAGGGAAAGCGTCTGACTACACTTTTATCACAAAGTAAAAACTAAGTTAACTTGTAAATATTTGAAATTGGGAATTGAACTTGAACATCTGTGAGGTTATTTCGAGGTAACCCTGCTTTTGCTATTTATAAACAATCCCACACTTTTTGATTTTATTGAAAAAACACAGATCATGAGACTGCAAGTCTAGAAAAGATATTACATGTACCCATTAATAATGCCATGCTTTAGGTGAACAATACTGAAATCTTGCTCACTGGGTATTTTATTATGAGACCAGAATTTGGAAAGGGACATTTACTTGATAAATGGATGCAAAATCATTTGTACTTTACCCAGTGAAAATTTCAGCTGAGTCGGAGCATATATAGAAGGTAGAATTTGTTACATCAAAAAACAAAAC